TGGAATGTGGCTAAAGAAACCTTAGTTGGGATTCAAGAAGCCGGGTTCTGTTTCTAATTCTTGTCACAGCTCTCTGCTTAGTGTCTACCAAGTCATCCACCTCTGCATCTGAAAGAGCTGTTAAGAAATGGTGGAGGGAGCCCATAGTAACCACAGACATGGAAATGCACAGTGCTGTTTTATTGGCTGATCTACCAAGGTAAAATTTTTAGGTCAAGACACAGCAATTTAGTCCATTTAGAGGAATGAATATAATTTGAAAAATTAACATATTTCAAGACTAACATCTCCAAGTATTGAGATCTCTTTTTAAATAGCTTTCTGGATTTTAGAGACATACTGTTACTGGCTGTGATTGTGTAAGTATTTGTGGTTTACGGAGTACTGTCCTAAATGTCAGGGCAAATAAGGCAGCCCCATTCCTTGCCTGTCACAGGCTCAGGGCCCCACGTCCCTTTGGTAGGCACATCTTGAGCTGAGTTTTGAGGACATCCCGTGCCCGGTCGGGGACACGTGAGAATTCCTGATCCAGCTGCTCGTTGCTAACATCCAAACAGCCCTGCGGTCCTCCTTCAGCCCTTCCTTGGTCCTTGGGAACTGCTTACCCATCAAGTCACCAGGCTGAGTTTATAGTATGGTGCTGTGCCTGGCACGAAGGACTCCACTCTTAGGGACCTAGAACTGTGGCCTCAATATTAGTCCTCGAACTGGAATTCTGGTTCTTGCCACCAGGCAAAGAAGGTGTTTAATGATGCTCATTTTCTTGGTGTATGTTGCCAAATTGGCAAAGCATCCATGATTTTGAAAAGATGCAATTCTGTACTTTTTTAAAAGCTTTATTGAGATACAATTCACATACCACACAACTCACCCATTTAAAGTGTACAGTCCAGTGGTTTTTAGTATGTATGTTCACAGAGTTGTGCAGCCATAACCACAATCAATTTTAGAACATTCTTATCACCCAATAAAGAAAATTCCTAACCAGTAGTAGTCCTTTTTCCTTTCTCTCTCCCCTCTTCTTTTGCTCCCCACCCCCCACCTCCTGGCTCCAGGAAACTGCTTGTCTAATATCTGTCTCTATATATTTGCCTATTCTGGTTTTTCACTCCTCCTAGCTAACTGTAATTGCATATCCTTTGACCAACATCTCCCCAACCCCCTCTCACCCCTAAATACCCAAGTGTTTGTTAGCCATCATTCCACTCTCTCCTTTGAGATCTGCTTTTTCAGATTCCACATGTAAGTGAAACCATGCAGTATTTGTCTTTCTATGTCTGGCTTATTGTACTTAACATAATGTTCTCCAGGTTCATTCACGTTGTTGCAAATGACAGGATTTTGCTCTTTTTTATCGCTGAATAATATTCCATTGTGTGTGTGTGTGTGTGTGTGTGTGTGTGTGTGTGTATAACATTTCCTTTATCCATTCATCTGTTGTTGGAAACTTAGGTTGCTTCCATATCTTGGCTATTATAAACAGTTCTGCAATAAACATGGGCATGCAGATGTCTCCTCAACATATTGATTTCATTTCCTTTGGATATATATCTCCAGTAGTGAGATTGCTGGATCACATTATGGTTCTATTTTTAATATTTTGAGGAACCTCCATACTGTTTTCCATAATGGCTGTACTAATTTACATTTTCACCAATAGTATGTAAGTGTTCCCTTTTCTCTATATCCCCAGCAACACTTGTTATCTTCTGTCTTTTTGCTAATAGCCATTCTAACCGATGTGAGATGATACCTCATTGTGATTTTCATTTGCATTTCCCTAATGATAGTGATATTGAGCAATTTTTTATATACCTGTTGGCCATTTGTATGTCTTCTTTTGAAAAGTGCCTATTCAGGTCTTTTGTCCATTTTTTTTTTAATAGGGTTCTCTGTTTTCTTACTGTTGAGTTGTTTGAGTTCCTCTTATATTTTGGATATTAACCCTTTGTCAGATTCATAATTTGCAAATATTTTCTCCCGTGCTGTAGGCTGTCTCTTCACTCTGCTGATTATTTCTTTTACTGTGCAGAAGCTTTTTAGTTTGATATATTCTGATTTGCCCAGTCTTGCTTTTGTTGCCTGTGCATTTGAGTTCTTATCCATAAAATTTTTGCCCATACCATCGTCATGAAGAATCTGTCCTATGTTTCTTCTGTTAATAGTATTTTCATAGTTTTGGGTCTCACATTTAAGTCCTTAATTCATTTGCAGTTGATTTTTTATATGGTAAGAGATAAGGGTCTAATTTCTTTTGCATGTGAATATCTAGTTTTCCCAGCACCATTTATTAAAAAGACTGTCCTTTCTCCCGTGTGTGTTCTTGGCACCATTGTTAAATATCAGGTGGCTACAAATGTGTGGATTTGTTTCTGGGTTCTCTATTCTGTTCCGTTGGTCTGTTTGTCTGCTTTTTATACCAATACCATGCGATTTTAATTACTATAGCTTTATAGAATATTTTGAAGTCAAGTATTGTGATGCCTCCAGCTTTGTTCTTTTCACTTAAGATTGCTTTGACTATTCAGGGTCTTTTGTAGTTTCTTAGGAATATTAGAATTGTTTCTTCTATTTCTGTGAGGAATTCTGTTGGTATTTTGATAGGGATTGCATTGAATCTGTAGATGGTTTTGGGTAGTATGGACATTTAAAAAATATTAATTCTTTCAACCCATGAACATGGGATATCTTTCCATTTATTCGTGTCATCTTCAGTTTCTTGCACCAGGGTTTTATAGTTTCCATTGTAGAGATCTTTCACCTCCTTCAGTAAATTTATTCCTAGGTATCTTAAAAAAAATTTTGTAGCTGTTATAAATGGGATTTTCTTGATTTCTTTTTCAGATAGTTCACTATTTACATTTAGAAATGCTACTGGTTTGTCTATGTTGATTTTTGTATCCTGCAACTTTACTAAATTAGTTTATTAGTTCTCACAGTTTTTTGGTAGAGTCTTGAGGATTTTCTCTATTTGAGATCATATCGTCTGCAAGCAGGGGCAATTTAACTTCCTCTTTTCCAATCTGGATGCCTTTCATTTGTTTCTTTTGCCTAATTGCTCTAGCTAGGAATAGAAATGGTAAAAGTGGGCACCTTTGTCTTATTGCAGATCTTAAGGGATAAGCTTTCCACTTTCCCACTTCATTGTGATTTAGCTATAGGTTTCTCAATGGCCTTTATTGTGTTGTGGTGCATTTCTTCTATCCCTAATTGGTTGAGAGTTTTTATCATGAAGGAATGTTGAATTTTGTCAAATGCTTTGTCTATTAAAATGATCATATGTTCTTTTCCTTGGTTCAGTTAATGCAGTATATTATCTTTATTGATTTGTATATGTTGAACTATCCTTCATCCCTGGTATGACTCCCTTGGTTATGCAAATGATCCTTTTAATATAAGTGTTGATTTGGCTTCCTACTATTTTGTTGAGGATTTTTGCATCTGTGTTCATCAGTGATACTGGCCTGTAGTTTTCTTTTTTTGTTCTTGTTGTGTCCTTATTTGGCTCTTGTATGAGGATGATGCTGGACTCATAAAGTGAGTTTGGAAGTGTTCCTCCTCCAAATGGGCATGACCATTTAGTTTTGTTAGTTT